CGTTCAACATCTCTCGGCTTCAATTCGTACGACACCCAATTTCCTTGCTTCTGAATCATTCCCATGGCTTTGAGGCGTTTTGAAATGGCTTGTTGAGTCACTCCCAATGATCGTGCCAATTCTTCTTAATTTTGACACGAGCCTTGCTCAAGTAATGTCTCTAATTCTGCGTCTTCGAAAATCTTCTCTCTTCCACCGCTATGCCGGTCTTCGATGTCAAAATCACCGTTCTTGAAACGTTGAAACTCACGACACGTTTTTTCATTAATAGCGGCCTCACCATAAGTATTTGAGAGCATTCGATGAGCCTCAGCCGCAGATTTCTTCATATTGAAGCAAAAAATTAAAACCTCCCGCAAATGACGAGAATTTGGCTCGTAAACTGACATTTTCAATCGAGAATAACTTTATGATGCAGACACAAATCGATTAATGTTTCTATGGGGTTATGTTGACAGATGCCCAAGTTTATTGTATGACGTCTATGATCTATTTATTTCGACCACCACTTACCACTAAAGCCATCTATAGGAAAACGGCGGAAGCAAAGTTGTACATCTAATAATACAATTTTCTGATATCGTTATTTTTTAAACAAAAATATAACAAATTTGTATAAATCTTTTATATTCAAATTTTTTACTGTATTGATATATAAAGGAAAAAACCCTATTATGAGATATCGAGTTCATTTTGAGCAGGGATCGGCATTATAGCAATATTTTTAGCTTCGATTAATGATTGATTATTGTTGGATAATCATTAATCAAATTCGAATATTTTTCAATTAGTTGATTAATCAGTAATCAAAAGAAAAAGTATTTAATTACTCGATTAATAATTAATAATCAAAATAAAAAAATATTTAATTATTCGTTTAATCAAAAACATAATTTGGTAAAATATTCTGTTTAGGGAAGTCCCCTTCAATGACTTTGATCTTGATATATGTTGTCAAAGTCATGATCTTGAGTAACCTCCAATAAGTTTTAATCGTCATTCGTTATTCGTTAAAAAGGTATTAACAAAAAACTTCGAAAAATAATGTTTTATTTCTACTATATATAACAGTAGGATGTATACACCGATTCTAGATCACTATGTGTTAGTGCGTATACGTATATGCAGTATGTGTGTGTGCGAGAGGGGTCAGGAAGAGGGAAGTGCACATAGACGCTGGGTCCGACGGAAGCGTGTCATTGTACGTATTAGAGAGAGAAGGGGGAGTTTGTTCCTTTTC